ACCACAGAATCTCACAGTGCTCAGTCTGTGCAAGTCAAAAGTGTTGCCCTTTGGGGGTTAAAGGATGGGAGCCAGGCAGAGAGCACCCCAAGCAGGCCTGTGGCAAGGACAGGTTGCAGACTTGGCTCTGCCCAGGGCGAGCTCACTGGAAGGGCTTGAAAACACACACATGTTCACGTTGTGCTGATGTTTGGGCTGAGCGACACCCCGTGAGGACTCATGGTGGCAGCCTGTGACATCCCCCCCGTGAAGGGCTGCTCTGGTTTTTGACTGGAGCAGTCAGGCTCCATCTCTGCGGAAAGGGTGGCTGCTCTCATCCTGGGTCTGGAGGAAGTATGATGGAGAAAGAGAAACATAGGGCTTGGGCAGAGGTGTGTGTGTGTTGGGGGGTGTGTGTGTGTGTGTGATGCGGCAAAAGCAAAGACACCCTGACAGCTGGGTCTCACCTGACTTTCAACAGGTTGCCATTTACATTTTATTTATACATTTAACAGAAAACAGGTAATTAGCAGCAAGATAGGTCATAAAACAGCAGTAATATAACATAGATCATACCTGATGTAACACTTACTGTCAGAAAAACATTAAGCCCACAAGATACCATGCACGGAGAGTAAGCACGAGAGATTGCTCCCCAGGTGCTGGTCCTGGAGAACTCTCGAAATTCTGGCAGCAAGTGATTTTTTACGATTTAGTTCACATTCTTCCTTTCCCTGTAAACAATTTGGTCTGGAGGTAAACCATCAGGAAATGCTACGATGGGACAAACGCTCACGGCTGTGCAGAGGCCATGCCAAGCTTGACTCCAGGGGTGGCCAGGACTTGGGGCGACCTCCGCATGGCTGCCTGTCACCAGGGCAGAAGGGCACACAGCCATGTGGCTCCTCTGGGCAAGGTTCTTCAGTGGTCTCCCCTCAGGCATGCCCTCCCAGGACACGCAGCAGCGTCCTTGACAGGCACTCATCCTCCACACTTGTTTTTACTCGTTTTCCCCATGCTTGACTAAAGACCTGTCTGTCCTGAGCAGGAGCAAACCTCCGTGCATGTGGCCGCTTGGTTCTTCTATAGGTTGAGCTCTGCTGTGAAGGGTGGATGGGCTTTAAGCCCTTCTAGGAAAGTAGGGTGGAAAACCAGGAGTAGATCTATAGCAGCTGATTTTATCTCTTAAATTGTACACGGAAACAAGTAACTCAGTGCAGTGATGTCCATGGGGTTAATATGAGGTTAATATCAAGGCTGTATAACTCTTTTTCAGCTTCCTTTTCCAACTTTCAATCTGCAGTTGAGGTTTTTTTTTTTAATTGGCAAAACACAGGAGTGGCCCCAAGATGCCTCTGGGATTGCAGTACGAATTAGGTAGAGACAGTGGGGTTTAGTGTATTATCTTAATTTTTAAAATGTTTTACCAATTCCAGAGCTGGAAATACATATTTTTTAAAAGCACAGATCCTGAAGTGCAGAACTCCTCTTCTGCAGCAAATCCACTTAGCAGGGAACTGTGGAATACGTCACACCTCGCATTACTGAGAGGACTATTGATGCATGAACTTTTACACCACTTTCTATTGCCTCTACTGTCAAGGCTCAGTCCAAGCTCATCACAGTCAAAATAATTCCCGTTAAACTGCTGTGAGCATGCTCCTGTACAGCAGCAGGCAGCCGCGGGGAGGGCAAGCTGCCTCCCATGCCATTTGCCGGCTGAACGAGGAGCCTCCAACCCCTACAGCTGGGTGGCTGCGTGGGAGCAGAGCCCCCTTCCCAATCCGCTCCCTTTCCTTTCCACTCGAGATCTGCAGAAATGGGATATGTCTGGTTTCCAGTGTCAGAACTGCCAGAGAAACTGACTGTGGAACACTGCAAGGGTAACACACATAGCGGTGTATTTAAAAGCCACGTCTTTGCTGCTAACTGGACCACTGCAGGAGATGCAGATTTCCTTTTTTCATTTTTCCTTGACACCAAGGCCATTAATATCCCATCTGCTTTCTGCGGCAGTCCTAGCTTATGCCAGCCTTGCTTTTCCTGGATGAGCCCTTGTCTTGGCTGGAACAAGTGTCTGTACAACAGTGACAGATCAGAGCAGCCACCAGAACTGGGTTAAAACAAAGCTTTCAAGAAAAGAAAGAAAAATGTTCATTTTAACCTGGACCAGTTCCTAATCCTGCGTTCCACATTGTCAGGGGCAAGTAAAGAAGTGATACAAAGGGACAGTGAAGAGCAAATGATGTGTGAAACGAGAGCCTAAACTGTAAATGGGTGGACATGACAGTCTCAGTCACTCCACTTTAGACAATATAAAAATCCTCGTTAAGCCTTCAAGTATTTTTATAGCCTTAAATTGCCATTTCTTCTCTCTCTGACACAATCTCCAAAAATGGAGAGTGGCAACAGTGGCAGAAGAAAATGAGACCAGTACTGTGCGTATGTGTATGGGACCAGCAGCTCTCCCTGAGCGCCCAGCCTTGTCCCTGGCTCCCTGAGCTGCCCAGGAGACCCTGGGGGGACAACATCTCACTTTATTTTCCTGACTTCTTGCAGCCTGCGGAAACTGGAAGAGGACTCTTCTCTGCTCCAAAGAGTGAGGATTTAGAGGCTGTGCCAGGTAATCCTGGGAGACGTGTGTCCTGGCTTGCACACACTGCTTGGATACGAGCGGATTTATTCCACTCCGAATTCCCACCTTCAGGAACACTCCCCAAGGGATGAATTCTGACCTGCAGCTCATAGGGACAGGAGGAGAAAGCTTCAATGCTGCCAGCCAGCCCTTCGCTCCCTATATTCCCCCTCTGCATCATCCGTTGTCTGATTTCTGGTGGGAAAGGGGCCAAGGACAGTGGCAGGTACATTTTCGTCTTTGGTATCTGGTTTTGATTATTTGATTGGAAAACAAAAGGAAGTGCTAAGCTGTCACTTCCAAGTGTCCTGGCCAAGTGGTCCAGGTTACCAAGACAACCAAGTACAGGTACTGCTGCTGGGACCT